TAAAATAGTCGCTCTCGGTTGTTACACACTGTAACGCCGCGTACTGTACTTTAATTCTATATTTATCTGAGAAGATGTTCGAATCGAGCGCAAATGCCAGATTCCTGTCAGGATCCTAGTTCTTGCGCTTAACTTGCGCGTTACCAAATAATCCAAGATATTTTTGTCAGGATCCAAGATTTTCCTACTACCAGTATGGTAGTATGGATTGTTTGGTAGTATGGTAGTATGGTAGTTGCAGGAACGCGCGAAGACCTATATGTAAATATTACTAAAGCGTACACGGAATCGTATCCTAGTCGGTTAATCCGTCGGTACTATACTAGCAGATCGCGAGTTCGAGACCTCGAAAGGAATTTTTTCACAATCTTTTGGCAATTATGAATAACTATACTAATGAATTAATAACTATACTAATGAATAACTAAACCTCTGTAATATAACTAGCAAAGTAAAATGAAATCGTTATCCGGCCGCGGAGCGGCCGAAAAATTTATGGTAGTCGTTTTAAAAATATATGGTAGCCGTTTTTTCTTTCCAGACTGGATTCCTAGTCCCTTTTTAAATTTATGTCACTGGGTTTTAGGCCCTAAAACGTCTTGTTTGTGTATTTCCCTGCCCAATTTAGCGTTCGGTCGACACGAAAAAAATATTTGGGGTACCTTTTTTTTGCTTCAGGGGGGCGCAAAAAGCCTTAGGGGGGGCGAGAAAAAAAGTACCCGACCTTTTTTTTTTTTTTTTTTTTTTTAGGGACACAAAAAATTTTAGGGGGGCGCTTTTCGTCATTGAGCGGGGGGACGCCACTGGACCTAATAAAATGAAAACAAAATGCAGCCATCTAATTTGTTGTTGAGCTTTCTCTTCTCCTACGGTTGACTAGAGGAACCATCTTTGGGGAGTATTAGGAACTTAGACCATTACAAATACTGTGCTGTAAGTTTGCAAGGCATGTGGACTAAGTGGGTCGAGAGTACTCAACTTGAAAGTGGGTGTTGAGAATCCTCAACTATACTAAAGATAATGATGTTCAGAAGATGAGGCAGTAGAGTGAGTAGTAGAGGCTGAAGAAGAATAAATGTCACAAGAGATGAGCACTATAATAATCATCTTTATGATAGTTCACCAATGGCAATTTGTGCTAGAGAGCGGAAGGCAGTGATGCTATCACTATCATCTCTTAAGATAGACCATGATGGTTGGTCATTAAAGGAATGGTCCTGCAGGGTTTCCCTGTAAGAGCAGCTGCACAGTGGACAGTAGAAGAGTCTGTGATAAGATGTTTTAGACTAACTAACAGGAACCCGTATAACCCTAAAATGGTGTCAAGACTCAATGCTCAAGAGACTAAAATAATTATTACCTAATTAATTCGCGATTTTGACACACCTTGGTGGTCCAAATTTTGGGCTCTAAAATTCCTATACCTTGGCCGATTTTTTATTTTTACATGCTGATTTGAAGGCCATCAAAGCATTTGACCCAGTCAAAAAAGTTTCAGTTTTATATCATTTACGGTTTTTGCGGAAAGTCGCGTTAAAGTTGATGCCGTGGTGTCAGTAAAATGGCACGGATAAATATATATATATATATCGTCTCGCTTTTTATATAGTAAGATGATAATAATTGTCAAATGACGTTATGTATTATAAAACAGTTATAAATGTTCAATAGTTGTAGAGCGATTTCAAGAGTAGTGGTCCACAGGGGTCCGAAAAAGCCGTACAGGCACTTGGGTCCTTATCCTTGTCACTAATCTTAATTGGATTCGGCTTACACAAAACATGAACATTTAGACGTACACATTGACACAATATTTATTAGAAAGCAAAACGTATAAAATAATACGTGCGTGCGCGGCTTGAGCCGCGACACATAAGAACAAATGCGTGTAGGGGCTGGAGTACGCTTGTCTACAGATTAATGAAATGTTGCATTGTAAATATTAACAATTGACGATATATTATGATCTAATAGTAATTTTACAAAGCTGGCTTTGGATTTAGGTGAGATTGTAATTTATTTAAAAAACCACTGATAGTTTTAAATTTATTTCTGTTTGTTGTATAATCATAAACAAGTTTATAATCCTGTTTTCATGAATGCGCGGCTTTGGCGGCCAGTTATTGATTTATACATTAAATTGAATTTAAAATAGAAATGTGAATATATTAAAATTTAAAATTTTCAAAACGGAGGCTTATAAATATTATTATATTATAATTATAAAATAAAGGATAAAATTTTAAATTTGTTTCACTAAAATTTGTTTCACTTGTATGACCCGCCGCGCACGAGTGCGCAGCCGCTCTCCCTGTATCGTAAAAACGATAAACCCAAAGTGAAACGACCGTGGGGGTCACGACGTGATACAAGTTTCGCCACTGCAAGCGCAAAGGCTTTGGATTGACGGATGTTACTCGTCTAAGTTTCTTCGAAGTAGCGCGCGCCGCTTTCTTCTCGAAACGATGGCAAGAGCTACGAAGTAGCGCGCGCCGGGCCAGATCATTAACAATGGTCAAGCTTTGGATAGAGCATGCAACAGCAATGTTTGAAGTTGTTGTAGCGCGATTCGTTACTGTGCCGCGCACTCAATAAAGCTTCTCACAGCTAGATCGGCGAAATGCGCTATTGTGCCACGCCGAGCTGCGATGAATCTGGAATTGACATCGTTAATTAACAATGTTGTTAATGTTACTTGTCTAAATTCATTCGCAGTATAGCGCGCGCCACTTTCTTCCCGAAATGTCATAAACAAATTACCATGCCTGAGGCAAGTGCTACGAAGCTAGTCCGTTAACAATAGACCATGCGGATGACTACATGACGCGTTTGTATACTGCGCGGGCCATAAAGTTGATCGCGCACCACTGCAACTGCAAGCATAAAGGAGCTTTGGTTACATGTTACAGGTTAGAGCAACATTGCATTTTAACTTGCAAATTAAAATTTGACGCCAAAAAGTAGCAACAAATTTGTTACACGTTGTATACCTCTCGTTCACGCGAAGCGTGCAGTGTACGCCGATCAAAAAGGGTTACAGCGTGTGTCAACAAAAAAAGCAAAATAAAAAGTAAAAAGTGTTCAAATCAAGGTGTTTTGTGTTAAAACACAAAGTATTGTGATTTTTTTTCATTTGTTGTTATGTCCATGTCATTTGTATAATTGATATTATTTATTTGCTCTAACCAGAGCCCTCTCGCTTGCAGTAGCGCGCGTCACGCAGTACGCGTAGGCACATGGCTATGTGAAATTATCTATTATCATATTAAGATATTGTTATTATATTACTGGTGTCGATTTCCAGTTTTTTTTTGTTCAATGCTTATTTAACATAAAAATAGTATATCAATATAACGTTTCAAAATAAATTTTCATCCGGGTTTCTCAAACCTTGTTTTTTATTTATACATAACCGTTTGGCATTATTAAAAACCGAACTTTAACGATAAAAATCTGTTTTTGGCCTCCAATTTTTATGGCCTTCCTCAAAATTACGATAAAAGCATGCCAATACAATTTAAGTATAAGCAACAATATTCAGCTATTTGCTTAACCATCAACCTGAACGTATACATTTTAGTTTAGATGGGTTATACATTTTTGGTCCAGAATTATTGCTTCTGGTACTACTTAACTGTGTCAGGATACTAGGTTGTAGGTTTACAACCTACCAGGACCCGCGGCGAGTATGGAACAAATATTCTACGAGTATCACCCGTTAAGAATACTAGGTTATAGTGTGTCATTACCATTTGGTTTGATTTGATTTGATTAAAAGGGATAGGAATAGAGGAGTCAGACTTAAGTCATTTAAGAGGACGGTAATTATAACTCATTCGTCAAATAAAATAATGAAGATGTTAATTTTTTTCAAATGAACAATTAATTTCGCATTCTTTAAATATTCAAAATGATTCGAGCGTGCTCTACGCTCGATCATCTTCGATTAGATTTTTCTAAAAGGGACCCCAACAGTTCAAACCAACTAGAATCGATGTATTTTCGGACGCTGATTCCGAATCACCCCCATTACATGACATAGGGTTAAAATGCTCTCCTGGCAAGATATTGGGTAAAAACTGTCTTGATCACGTGATATGACTGTAGGATACAAGGATACAGGAATACAAAAGTGATAATTACTTTATTGAGTACACAATAGTTGTAATTCTGAAATATTTATATGGAAGTTGATATAATTTCTCCTTAGGGTTAGGGTTTCAGTATATGCTTTTGTTAGGGATTGGATTAGGGTTAAGTTTATGATCAGATTAGAGGGTAAGGTTTTGAACACGAACAGTCGTTCAGGGCCAGCTAGAGAACAGGTTGAAAAAGTCACCTGACAGTTGAGTGTAGAGTGATTAATCATCATCCCGACTGCAGAGTGTAAATCATCATCCAAAATGATTGGATTGAGCCAAATTGTAATGCATTGTAATTTGCCATTAAAATGACACTTGTCCTGAAACGATAGAAGCTCTAGCTTCTGAGATATCAAGCGTAACAATTTTATTCATTATGTGGGATCAGATGATTGGGTTGACACTAGATCGTGCAGGAAGCCCAAATGGTCACCCAATCAATTTTGGTAACGATTTCAACAAAATGTTTGATAACTTTGTCATTTTAACTATGTTTGACACCTAATTTTTTATATCATTTGCCATATCTTCCACACTGCCATATGTAAAATTGAATTTTCTAGCATGTTCCACAGAACAGGCATAATAAGCTATTTAATGTTGAAAGGTTTTGCCTCCAAAAATCGACTATATTGACTCAGACAGTTTTGAAATTGATATCGAAAGGTAACATTCAGTGAAAAAATGTAAATTTTTCACATTTTTGAATCATATAATATTTAACAACTTGCAACTGTAAGTTTTTCTAAACTCCCTGGCCTCTTCCGAGGGGCAAATGGCTTATGTAATATTTGAACGATACTTTAATATTAAATCATTTAATAGCAATTTAGGAAATGATAATAAATAAATAACATCAGTTTAGTACCAAACGAAGATGACTCCCACAAATACCTCTCTTGTGAAATATGACAATCCAAAGCTTGTGAGTCGAAGTACTGATGCCAAAGCACAGAGAAAGCAAAAAAGTCCACAACAATCACCAGCACCTGGTGTACCAGGTATACTGAAATTTGAATTATTTACTGAAATTTATTGATTTATGAGGCAGCATGATAAGATTGTGATTCACTCGCAGTAACAGTTAAATACTGACTATTTGATTGAGCTCAATATCTGTTACCATTCTATTGTCTATGTACATTAATTTGTGAATTCGAAAGGGAGCACGAGAGATGGCAAATTGCCACCATTGGAGGTGAAGAATCAAGCAGAAGATATTTTGAACTCAATTCTACCCCCAAGAGAGTGGACTGAAAGTGGGCAGCTCTGGGTTCAACAGGTTGATAAATAAAGTGTGATTAATTGAAAAGGCTTATATTATACTATGAATCATCTTGAGCTTTCGTTAATACCATTTTGTTAGTTAATGATAGATTCAGACCTCCTGTCAATGTACCTTAACTAATCTAGCTCTTGTATTAAAGCTTGAAAATCAAACTTAAATTAACGTTGTTCTCTGCCACCTATAGGTATCAAGCACTCCTGCCACAAGATTGGATGTTGTTAACCTACAAGAACAGTTAGATATTCGTCTGCAGCAGAGACAGGCCAGAGAAACTGGTATTTGCCCTGTCCGCAGAGAGCTTTACTCACAGGTATTTGATGATCCGTAAACTAGGTGTGTGAAAAGAGAATTTCAAACTGTTTAACATCTCAATTAATATTTTTTAAATCTCTAACAATCACTGTAATTGTGAATATTTCTAACACACAACTGGCAACTCTTTTAGTGTTTTGATGAGCTGATAAGACAAGTAACTATCTCCTGCGCTGAGCGTGGACTTCTGCTCCTTCGTGTGCGAGATGAAATCAGGATGACGATAGCTGCATACCAAACACTCTATGAGAGCAGTGTCGCATTTGGCATGCGCAAGGCTCTCCAGGCTGAACAAGGTCCGATCATCTGCATACTTTATACCCTTTTCTCATCAGTTTTCATCGATTATTAGTGTATAGAATTGAACATTAATATACAATATACATTTTTGTAAGCTAAACTTTTTAACACGTGAAATGTAACAGGTAAGACTGATATGCAGAGGAAGATTGAGGAACTTGAGGAGGAAAAGAAAGATCTGGAACGTCAAGTAAACGAGTTGAAGTCCAAATGCGATGCTATCGAGAAGAGAGAAGCAGAGAGGCGAGTTGTTGAAGAGAAGAAACATGCAGAGGAGATACAGTTCTTGAAGAGGACCAACCAGCAGCTGAAGACACAGCTAGAGGGAATCATCCAGCCAAGCAAGAAATAAACTCTAGAGACGAGGATTTTAGTTTGAGTAGATCAAAACTCGAATGTTATACATATCTGTACATAGTTTTCATTAAAAGGTTCCAGTTATCTATAGTATTGAATTGTAAAGGTTGTCAGAATGTTCTGTCGGTGCTCTGAACCATTCCCTAGGGTAACCTTGTAATATTATTTATTGATTCCAAACGCAAACTTAGACCTTTGTCAGCAGGTATGATAATTTGTGCAACTGGGACCTTACATACTGGGACGTTATAATACTGAAACAAGTTCTTGCTTTTGATAAAAATAACTTTGTATATCTTCCTTTCAGTTTGCTGTTTTCATTCTTTAATGAGCTTCTTAACTCCACAATTGATGATCTTAAAATCCTTCTCGCTTTAAAATCGCAGTGAGAGATACAAATCGTGATCAACAACATAAATCTAATCATAGAAATTTCATACTTAGAAATGCTGAAAACTTGCTTCATGAATTGACTGCCAGCAGAATAACACTACCATCATGGTCGAAGGAGGAAATGACGACGGAAACATTAAACCATATCATGCTAGATTTTTAGCACGGATCCTCAGGTGTTTAAGACTTTATGATTTTTCAACAATTATTGATTTCCTAGCAATAAAAGCCTAAAATATAGATTAATGCAGTATCACTTTTGTTAGACTAAAAATGTGGAACCGACATCACAAACCCTAAATGAATCTAAAATAATGCCAAAATAGTAACACAGGCAATAATATTACCAGGTCGAGTCAGTTCACTGTAGGTATAGACAAGAAGCAATGTAATTTAACTCCAGTTGTCCTTGACACCAGAAAATACCAAGCTGTCTTCAGTGAAGAACGTACCTCCTCTATTTACGAGGTTTGTTAACTTCTGCATCTTTATATTACATCCTGGGTACATCCTGCTTCAGTACCTGTCCTTACTACTAGCTAAAGAGCACATCTAAAATACTCAGTTTTGTGTACTGCAAGATAACGGCGGTCTTGTTCCAGGTCCCAGACTGGGAGTTGCTACACGCCATAGTTGGGTTATACGACAGTTACCTCCCTGAAATAACACCTGAAGTGTTGTACAACACCCTGACATGTCGATCTTCTCTCACTCTCGTCTTTCTTAAAGAACCTGAAGGTATTTCTAAAGTAAATGGGGAATTGACAACTACAGAACATTTACTGACTACTCAATTAATTCTTCTTAAATTATTGACTGTTTTAAATAAACCACTTGCACTTTTTGATCGTAAAATTTGAAACAATATGTGCAAGACTGGTTTATTTGATTTACTTTTTAGATGTATTGAAAGAACGAGACAGGGACGGTCCAAAAGAGCAGAAAGAAATTCCAAAACCCCAGAAAAAGGAAGGAGTAAAAGCAGAAGAAAGTAAGGATAAGAATAAGGAGGAAAAGGAGGAGGAGAGTGAGGATGAAGAGAGAATATTCACAGGAGTTTTTAGTGACGATGAGACAGATGATGAAGACAGCAGGTGGGTTTTAAGTACAATCCTCAGGGTCACATGACTATTGCTAAAGTATTGTCGGTATTGAACTACTCACTGAAACTTAAATGGTGGAGCTGTATCCACTTTAAAACATAATTAAATAATGTACGTGGCTGATAACATTACGTCAACAGTGAAGAAGAAACAGAAGATGACGAACACTACGCTGCAAGTGTTGAGGAATATTTGGAGCAGGTTGAGAAGAGAAGAAAACTCAGGGAAGAAAACCACTTAGAGTGAGTAAAATGTAAATACTGATCTCATTAATAAATAACAAAATAGGTTTGGAAATATACCGCATTTACCGAACAAGTAAATAAGACAGCCCCTTTAAGATAACATACTTTATACTCTGCTGCTTAATTAACTTCACCAAAATCACCAAATTTAGAAAAAGAACACCTGAAATATTTTCAATCCAAGTCACGCATCTTCTGAAACTATGCTCCTTGACGTCATACCATTTTCTCTCGAGTCTGCTGCTGAGTGGCCTCCAGCTGAAATTGTAGTTGGACTATAAAGCTGGTTTGTTTGTGTGCTCGGATATTTTCTTGTTGCCACGTAATCCGATCGACTGAGTACTAAGCTTGGAGAATTCCTGGATAACGATTTATTCCGCCTGCGAAAAATTCGACACAAAAATCGTCTCATATCCTTCTTCCTGAACAAATACACGAACGGATTCAACGCTGAGTTCATGGGAATAGCTGCAGTAACGACAACGTGTCTAAATAGAACAGATATAGTTTCTTTTCCAAGCACAAAATTGAACAGCACCACCACATACAGTAGATTGAAGAAACCAAAAAAGGTTGAGAGGATAAGAATTGTGCCTGTTGCTTGCCGACTGAGGTCTGTCGAACAAGGTCCGTCTGGAGAGTGGTTAGAAATTTTTCGTTTCAGAAGTTTCCAGATCGTCATCAAATTCGCGCTCAGGACGACAGTTAAATCAAGAATTAAAGAAATGAGGAGGATGTAGTTGTAAACATCGACAAACTGTATGAGTCTGTCTCCTTGAACCACCAAAACATAGTACCATGATAGTCCCTCTTTTATTACATTGTAAGACAAGAATGCCGCAAAGGATATAATTATGAGCTTAGTGTTGGGATTGTAGAAAGGGAAGTAGGTTGAAACAGACCGAGCGACCGTTAACAGTGTCGTCACAAATCCAGTGCATTCTACAAACATGAAGAAGTTCAAGTGAAAGAAACTCTGACCTATTTTGTTGACTTGCCAGTAATTGAAAGTCAGGTAGAATGTTGCAAAAAGACAAACGAGAAGATCTAGAATATTCAGGAGAGCAAGGAGTCTTTCTCCGAGTTTCTTGCTCTGATGAGTGACGAAATAGGACAGTGAGATAACGTTGGAGACTGTTCCAATGGCACTGATGCTGATAGAAATTAATATCATTACTTTTAGCTCGGTTTTAGTAAGATATGTTTCGGTAACGGAAACTGCACTGTCTGAATGGTTGGTCGGGTATCCTTCGAAAAGCTCAGTGGTGGCCATGTCTTGATAGCAAAGTATGTAATGCTCAGCAACAGAAGGTTCTGACTCGGCTAACAAATATCAAATGTTCTCAAACAAGTGTCGAAACAAGGTATTGGTCACGTTAACTGATCGATATACCATATATATCATGAAATGAGTCTAACAGCTGTGCGAGATTTCTGTCAGGCGTCGGCGCATAAATATTGTAGTATGTGTGTACCACTATTATATATGTGGGATTCATGAAAACCTAAGAGCAGCGATATATAGACGTCCCAGAATGACGACCATCTGGTTTTCATTAGATAAAGTCAGATTGATTGACCTGTGATATGGGCATGAAACAGCTGGTGCATTGCTCACCCCCAAAAAAGTGTGTTAATTCTAACACGACAGAAACATCACGTGTATGCATTATACGGTGTTTTAGTTAATAATAATATGGCTAACAAAAATACTGTGCGAATTGCTCAAAAATCATTGTTATTGGGACCCTGAGAAAGATGAGACCCTGAGAGTGGTGCAGTGGTTCCCTGAGAGGAGTGCAGTGGTTCCCTGAGAGGAGTGCAGTGGTTCCCTGAGAGGAGTGCAGTGGTTCCCTGAGATGAGTGCAGTGGTTCCCTGAGAGTGGTGCAGTGGTTCTCTGAGAGGAGTGCAGTGGTTCTCTGAGAGGAGTGCAGTGGTTTCCTGAGAGGAGTGCAGTGGTTCCCTGAGAGGAGTGCAGTGGTTCTCTGAGAGGAGTGCAGTGGTTCTCTGAGAGGAGTGCAGTGGTTCCCTGAGAGGAGTGCAGTGGTTCCCTGAGAGGAGTGCAGTGGTTCCCTGAGAGGAGTGCAGTGGTTCCCTGAGAGGAGTGCAGTGGTTCCCTGAGAGGGGTGGGACCCAGATTTCAGTTCCAACATGTCACCCATATCTAAGGAAGCATCTCATCAGTGACATGGCCGCACCCAAAAAATCTGTTTCTGAACTGGACTTATTGTGGCATCCAGATGGCTAGCAAGATTAGTTTAAACAACGTCAAAAATACTAAAATACCGACTTTAACGAAAAAATTAATTTCTCTAACTCCATCCTTCTCCCCAGTCCAGCCAGTATTGGTGCAGAGTCCTTGTTGGTCGCAGCAGCCACCTTCAAGCGTGTTCACAACACGGAGGACTCTCCTCGCCGCGACAAGGAACGGATCATCCAGCTAGCACTGCTCGCTGTGAGGATAAGGTTCCGGAAACTGGGTGTTGGCAGACAGCTCCTTAATGTGAGATATCTATTGTCGCGTTCGTTGAGTCAAAGTCGTTTTATTTTGATCACTATTCTTAAAGAAAAATAAAATAAAAAAAAAAGTTACAGTTATTTAATTGAGAAGCTGGTAAGTATACTAATGATAAAATTTCAGTTCGTACGTAACCCAATTGTGGTAGGAGAGTACGATGCTTTAGTGTCGTATGTTGATCCCGGTGCCACAGGATTCTTCGTCAGAAATGGGTTCTCAAGTGACCTCATTCTTAATCATCGCTTCAGGTAGTGCCTCACTGCTCACCTCAGCGTCAAGTCTATTTTTCTGCTGCAAATTGATCGATCAGACGTGGTCAAGTGTCAAAAGTCAAAACACTTTTTTCTCCCCCCCATCCCCAGCCATTATTAAATTTATTTCTCCTCAGTGACTTGGTGGATCATTGGGATAATTCTACGCTGATGAGCTACCTTCCGCCTTACTCCGGTAATATTTTATTTGTTACCAAAATTTAGTTGTAAGACTGAAAACTGCACTTCTCCTTCATGTCAAACCTAAAAACAGCAAATACGAATCCGTTGAAAATTAGAAGTTAATTGGATCTTTATGATCACTCTTTCTCCATTCTTACCCAAGAAAGTTATCTTAATCTTCTACTTACCTTGACTGATCCCCACAGAGTGTCTATCATCGGGTACGGTATCACTGCTGCGCGAGATGAGCTCAAGTCTCGGAGATGACATAAAGCGGTGGCGCAGCACGAGCGTGGAGGCATACCAGACGCAGCTCAGCTGTTTGGAACGCATGAGACACGAGATAATGTTGCTAAGGACTACCGTATCTTCTCAGGTCAGTGTTATTCGATGCTATTTATTATTACTCTGAAGTTTTGTGATAGTTCCTGTTTGAATTTCAGAGCCGATCGAAAATATTGCGCTGTGAAAAGCTGCCTCGTAGATTATTTTATGGTCGTAAAATTTTTAAGAATTTTGGTCGTATAATTTTTTGCCATGCCCATATTTTTCGTGTTTAATGAAATATATTGCGATCAAGTATGGTTGTGGAAAGCTTGCTTGCAAGATCAGAATAAATTAAACAAAATAGTAAGCTTGATGCATGTTATTCGTTACAAATAAAGAGTAAGCAGCTTGATTTTCAAAAGATCAATAATCATTATTCGTTCATAATGAATGCAATGTATGCCTGTTATGCTACATTGCCTACATATTAATATGAATATTATAATTATGCAGCTGCATTGCAATTTTAAAACCGTACATGATGAAAAATGGTGTTTAGGAAACGACAATGAATTCACTGACGAATGAGATTGATAGGTTAAGACTGAGCAAAGGGGTCTGTGAGCGGGAGTTCAGAGAATACAGAGCACAGGTTTGGAACTATTTTAAATTTCTATGCACAAATTTGAGAAGCCCATTGCATTCTATACATACAGATCGAAGCAATTCCATTCTTCATACGTAGATTGTACATTTCGGTTCAATGATGCGAATTTCACGTAAACGCTGTACACTTATTTTTGATCATTGACAATAACAAGTAATTAGCTTATCACTTACACAGGTGCGAGCCATGTTGAGTAGACTCAAGAACGGTAAAGAGGACTTGGAATCAGCCGAGAGCGAAATCATGAGTCTCTCCTTAGTGGGAAATAAAGATAGTCTTGTGAATGGGCATGTGTCAGAAAATGTTGCAGTAACGGTAGGTTACGTCGAAAAAAGTACCACATATAAATGAATAAAGTACCACATCTAAATTGCTCCACGGTTTCATTTACAAATTAACATTAAATTACTTTGATAAGTAAGTTTGGAATTTATTTCTTTATTGCAGTTTTGTTACGTTTCGATAAGTAATTAAAGCTGTCTTATCTATATCATATCGCTACAATTTAAATTTCCTTTTTTATTGTTTTATTATGATTATTAGTTACCATTATTTCTCTCCATGTTGAGCGCTCATTATCTTTGACATATCTCTCAGATCGGCGAGGAAGAATTTAGCGATCTAGAGGATGAAATAAGATCAGCCATATGTGCTGTACCTTCCTATAAGTCGATCAGAATAACCTCAATTGAAAAGGTATTTTAAGTTTTCCTGGAAATTAACAGTTTAAGCTTTTAGTAATCCATTCATTTTATCTTCATTGCTAGAATTGGATCTTGAAAGTAATGTTTTTATGCAATATTTTGCGTTTAATTTTAAATGTGATCCGTTCATCAGCAAAACGCAGAAAAGTCAGCATTGCTTCGAAATGTGTACAAAGCGCGGTGCAATGCACTACGTGACCCCAACATGACCATGAAGCTCTACTACTGTGGTGGCAAAGGTGGCACATTGCACAGGGTGCTAAAAGAGGGGTTCCAACCCAAGGATATGGTGGTTGGAGATTTCGGGGTGGGCATGTATTTCACCCAAAATCCTGTCAGAGCAATGCAGTATTCTGAGGTCGGCTAAATTTTTTGCTGGACGTTTTCTGTACATTGGATCTAGATTTAATACCCAACGTTCGCGTTGGTTAGATATTGAAATTTCATGATTCAGATATTTGAAGTATAGTTGGTAGTAGATTACACTATTTTGTATTTCAGCCTGGGCTGCTATTGCAATGCGAAGTTGGGATCGGTAATGCAGAATCTGTACTTAAAATGGACCAAACCAGGTGACCTCCCCTATAGCTTTACAATTATATTTATCGTCTAATTATTGAATACTAAACAAGCTCTCAACCAGTGATCTGTTGACTGGCCACATCATTCTTCGATGTTCTTCTAAATCATTCCTCTAATCGGGTTAAGGAATCTCTGGCTTGAAATAAAGTCCAGAAGTCCTAAAACTAATTTCGCCTCCATCAAAACCCTAGCAACGTAAAATCCCGGACTGCATTTGTACAAGACCACTTTTGGAAAATTTGCCATTTAAACTGGTCCGGAAATAGTGTTTTCATTACCTTGCTCGGGAATATTATAGTGGGTTAATTTATGACTGGGAAAATTAATGAACGGGAAAAATATGGCGGAATTTTTCAAAACCCACCAAGCATCAAAACGTATTACTATTAGTTTACCTTACTCGGAAACATTATAGTGGGTTAATTTATGACTGGGAAAATTAATGACCGGGAAAAATATGGCGGAATTTTCCAAAACCCACCACTTTATCCCAGTCATAATATTCCCGAGTAAGGTATGTTTTGAGGATAAATTAAGCGATATGGCAATATTTTAATTACAAAGGGTCTACTTATATATTTCACGGAACGCGCGAAAGTTGATATACTACCGCAACTTTTTTTGTTCAGCAGTCAGTGCAACAGAATTTTACTGCGCGGTGTGTACAATTCTTCGTTGCTAAGTGACGAGCACATCCGTAGCAACGAAAGACATTTCAGCTAGGGACAAAGGTCCTCTTGTTATGTCGTCAATAAACCTCGCAGATATTTTGGCGGTTGCAAGATTAATCATGGTCCTTAACCCAATTTATCACTCTTATTTGATTGTTATGCAGCATGAATTGTTTCGATTCCTGTTTCAATGTTCTTGACATACGTTGCATGCCACATTTCGCGCGCGAAGCGCGCGCCGCCGAAGGCGGAAATAATATCTCTGATATTTGTGATACGTAACATGTATCAACAATGTTCAAAGATACGCGTGAGGTACATACTAATAAAGTTGTTTCCCAGAAATCGACCACCAGTGGGATTTGACTCGATATTGACGGGAGAAAGAGACGTTGATCATATAGGGATATACAGTCATCAGAGGCACAATGAACTGCAATATTTAGTTTTCGATAGTAAGCAGGTAAGCACAAAGCAGTGCAATGTGAAACTGAAAAAGAATACAACTACAAGATCTATCAGTCGTTAGTCGTACATATACAATATATTTTAATAGGGGTTGTGTTGTTCACATATTTACAGATAACCTGACTAAACAGGAAACTAGAGATAACGAGGATTTCATTTTAAATTTCCATTATGAACTAAATAATCCCCATTTTCAGGCAGTACCTCTCTACCTGATTTATTTCACTGTTTGAAATTCCGGATTACAATTGCTTCATTTTAATGACGCAATTGTGCCAACGAATTAGGAGCTAAAGAACTAAACTTTGAAGCTATAGCTATTATCTATGTTGACGTAGATAAAGAATAATCTGTAAATGGTAAAATATCATTCTCGAAATGCGGGTTTCTAGACTGTTCTGCATCATGAACGACATGAAAATCTGGTTATGTTTTCGACAATCATAATCCTAGATTTTAGTACTGATGATGTTCCTGGACAATATTGATTACCTTATATATTCTTAAGGGTGCATTTGCATTGGCAGTTTCTGATATCTTTTCTATAACGTTTTTAGCTGGTTATGGCTTATACGTAATTTTAGATTTACTTTCTTTTTTATAGGAATTATTCTTATGAAGCTTTGTGAGATAATGTTCTTGGTTTATTTTATTTGAAGATGTATAATTTTGATTATATGAAATACTTTCTTTGCCTTATTGATAGAACAGAATCATAGTTGCGATTTCATCAACGCGAATTTTCTGTTATACTTACATTCGACACTTTTCGACGTATTCTAATTCTAACGACCCATCTATCTCAATGGCGATTCCGTCATCATTCTGAACTGCTCGAGAAATTGATAAAAAACTTCTGTATAGGATGGCGGAGGTTCATATTATTGGTAACCTAGATGGCGGTGAAGGATTTTCCTCCCCAAATTTGTCATGCAAATGGTGTTTTGAAACTGGAGGAGCTTGGAGACTCTTAGAAGGAGTCAAAGACGGTCAAACTCAGGTATTTCAACATTGTCATAATTTCTCAGCTTTCTCACATTTTCTTTAGATTCTAATATATATCTCCTTTCTAATATATATCTCCATATATCTCCATCAAGATCGGTAGTTCCCGCAATCAAACAACGAATGAGTTTTTAAAAGTTCCAATTAAGTTCCAATTTAAGATGATTTAAGAATTCCTCATCTATATTCTATGAGCGTATAAATGCACTAATTAATTCGATTCATTGACAGTGTACTTTAACTTATCCGATGCTACCATCCACACTGTCAATATAAGCTAATCTATTATTGTTTCTGTTAGGTTGATCATCCTATAGATGAGGGAATAGCACACTGGTCTCATCCCATAGATCTACACTACGCTATAAAGGGGATCCAGGGCTGGCCCAAACTCTCACTCCAGGTTTCTAAGCCTATACTGTATTTAAAGCGATGCCAACATGACGTAATAATATGATTGTTTAGTAATACTTCTAGGTCCCTGTTATCACCAATAAATCAACATGATTGGTCCAACATGTCAGGTATACAGTGAAGATATGTACGGCAGAACCCAACTAGTTGGGTATGGTTTTGTACATTTACCCACCTCTCCTGGATTTCACAAGATTGAGTGTCCTACTTGGCAACTGGCAGGTTAGTAGTCTATATTAAGTGGTCGATGTTTCAGAGTATTTGTCTTTCATAGTGATACCTGGTGATGACAGAATTTCCTTTTTTTTGGATAACTGGATTGAACTTAATCATTTTAATGCCTATTCTTATGAGATTTGAGCTTTTTTCATATAAATTGTTAAATTGAAACATCAGAGGGACTGGTTTTAACTGTTTTTTGCTCAGGAAGTGCGATGGATCAAGTACAATCATATTTCGTTGGCAGTGGGCCTCAGCTTATTAATGATGACGTCATAGCATCTGGCTCAGACCGATATAGATTACAGACAATCGCCTCAGGGACTGTTTACCTTTCTTTATTTCTTGTGACAAGGAACTTTAACAAGTTTGGTATAGAATCGTGAAATTTTCATAAGTATAACTCTTAAAGTGGAAATGCTGGGAAAATTTGCTTTTTATAGCTGGAAGTGCTGGGAATATTTGCTATTACACAGAGAATAGAGATTGATGTTGTATTTTGTATATGCTGACGGATTTTTATTGACCTACTCTGTAATCATCAGAAGTTTTCCATTTTTACCTGACGTCTCAGTTATTTTGACCAAATTTAATGCTGACAAATTTATTAATCTTATTTTTGTACGCTTCTTGTGATGATATTTGAATATTTAACGTTTAAGTGATATTCGTATTATTTTGCACAATCAAAGATTTAAAAACGTTTCATAATGATACAATTCAAATAGTTAAGTGTACCAGCCACTTTTACATGTATTTTACAATTTGTACTAGCAGTATATATCACCATAATTGTATATAGAGTCTACATTTCATATCATTGAAAATAAAAAATAATAATAAGGGATCGTTCACATATATAATGGGTCCGTCACATATTACGTAATCAATATTTTAGAAATTTTTACCCCCCTCCGTAAACAACCGTAATCAAGACCCAACCCCCCCTGACAGCAATATTACGTAATCATGGCATGGCCGGACCCGGGACCCCCTCCTCCCCTTGACTTTTTTCCCTAGAAAACACTTTTCTCTACGTTTCATGCAACCCTGATCATGCTATCATGATGAGCCGAAATTATTGTTATCAGTTATGATATCCGGCCAAGCACCTTCTAAACTACTTACTATTATGGGGGGGGGGGGGGGGGTCAACCTCATTTTACCTCATTTTACCTCATCCCAATTTTGCCTTTTTTGGCTGGCCTCATGAGGTAAAATGAGGTAAATCTCGGCAAAAATTTTTAACAGGTAAAATTCTCTAAATCGTCAATTTAGTCACGAAGGAGTATGGAAGGAGTTCTAAATGTGTGCTCCTCTAATATAAACAGTAGGAAATGGTTAACTTTAGTCGAGGTCTCAGGTCTCTACAATGTCGGAAAGTTCCTGCAGGAATTTGCGCATTGCGCTTGAAGCGCAAGATTCACAGCGCCAAAAGCGAAGGTCGTAGAGACATGAGACCTTGACTAAAGTTAACCATTTCATACCATTGCTATAAGAGTATGCCACTTTCAGAGTCCTGAACACACTCCCATATCTCTTAATCGTCAATTGTATGAATTTTACCTGTTAAAATATAATATCATCTTTTACTGATATCAATTTAGTTTAACACTGTTAGTTTTAAAAAAGAAAATAATACTTCACACCAAACTAACACACAATATGAGAATATAAAGAGGAAGGTTTTCTTGGAGACCTGGACCATCAAAATAGTGTACATTGCTGCTGTCATTGTCAAGACTCCAGAATAAGAGGGTCTAGTTGTGGGATTATGCTGGATAACAGATATGATAAGTGGTAACAGCCTACAAAAGAATGTTAGCTTACTAAGGAATTTTCCTCTTACCGAATTATACAAGAAGTTAACTAAGTTCCTCCTAGTCCTAAGCATTATCTTGTTTCAGAGGGAATGAGTGATTTAAAAAGATGAGCAGCAGGAACCCGTATAACCCTAAAATGGTGTCAAGATTCAAGAGACTAAAATAATTATTATATATTTAATTCGCGTTTTTGACACCACTTGGGGGTCCAAATTTGGGGCTCTAAAACTTTTATTTCTTGGCCAATTTTTTATTTTTTCATGCTGATTTGGAGGCCATTAAAGCATTTGGCCCAGTCAAAAAAGTTTCAGTTGTATATCTTTTACGGTTTTTGCGGAAAGTAGCGTTAAAGTTGATGCCGTGGTGTCAGTAAAATGGCACGGATAAACATATATATATCGTATCGCTTTATATATAGTAAGATGAGGCCAAAGAGTTAGTTGTGAAGAAGGCATTTGTACTCTGTAATTTCTAAGCTAATTTTTTTCGATATTTATAGCTATTTACTGATCTTGTTTTGACGTATCAGCAAGATATCACTGGACCTCGTTAGTTGTTAGTCATGTTATGCTGATCCAGTTAGTGACGAGCTATGAAGTAATCATTCGACCTCATTTAATACTGATCCTATCAATGACGAGCTATGAAGTAATCAGTGGATCGGAGTCCAAGGAAAACCTTCCTTTTTTATATTATCATATTGTGCGTTAGTTTGGTGTGAAGTAATATGTTCTTTTTCAAAACTAACAGTGTTTTAAACTAAATTGATATCAGTTAAAGATGATATATTTTAACAGGTAAAATTCATATAATTGATGATTAAGAGCTGTAGGAGTGTGTTCAGGACTCTGAAAGTGACATACTCTCATAGCAATGGTATGGAATGGTTAATTTTAGTCAAGGTCTCATGTCTCTACGACCTTTGCTTTTGGCGCAGTGAATCTTGCGCTTCAGCGCCATGTGCAAATTACTGCAGGAACTTCCCGACATTGTAGAGACCTGAAACCTCGACTAAAGTTAACCATTTCCTACTGTTTATATTAGAGGAGCACACATTTAGAACTCCTTCCAAACTCCTTCGTGACTAAATTGACGATTTAGATAATTTTACCTGTTAAAAATTGGTGAAAAATATGGGCGTGGCCCAAGTCAGTATTATACGAAACCGTAGACACAAAAAATTGTTTGGTTGTTCCTGATCCTATAGAGCAACTAATTAGAGGTGATATCTAATTATTTGAACGAAAAGTGGTTTTGTGAACCGCCCTTTATTCTACAGCGAATCATGAACATTGAACATGTACATAAGAACTTAGAATTGTATGAAGTATGAGTTAATATGAGTAATTTATTATGAAATGACCTTTCACTATGCAATTTCGACTAAATTCATGTAGATATCCAATCCACTTCCATGCACAACTGTTGTTTACATTTGGTCTAGTTAGACACAATTTGTTTCAGAGTGACTCGATAATTGCCATATCAAACTAAGATATTATTTAAATGGTCCATGTCATGCAATGCGGAAATATCCCCATAAATTGGCAACTGCCAAAGTGACACTAAAGTTATTGCTAATTCCTTTACAAAACTTAGCAAGTGCTATTAACAATTTCCTAATGGATCATGGAAATTGAAATGTTCGATTTTCTTTTAATAAATAATAATTATAATGCGAAGTTGTATTTACCCCAAGTTTGGAGAGTAAGTAGGTTAAACTGGGAATGCCCCTTCCCAGGGACCACATCACCCCTAATAAACCATTAAATATCATGGGAGACCATGCACAGCCTCGAATTATAGTATAATGACTTCGAATAAACCTTTTTTGTCTCTAAAAAAAGGCTTAGAAAACTAGATTTATTTACCTCATTTTACCTCATTTTACCTCATCCCAATTTTGCCTTTTTTGGCTGGCCTCATGAGGTAAAATGAGGTTGACCCCCCCCCTATTATAGCCGGATAATCGATCAATTTCTAAATTTTATCACTATCAGAGTGATAGTGTTATTATTCTAGAGGGTAAAAAAGATAACGTAATCAACGACCAAACCCCCCCCCGCCCCCGGGATCAACCGTAAGCATTTGGAAACCCCACCCCCCCCCTCGGCTGATTACGTAATACGTGAATGACCCCTAAGGTAAGCCAAATTTAGGTTATTCTGAGCCACTTTACCACATAGTTTACACATAGCTCTTCAGTAGAAATTACAGTAAGCTTTTCCAAAATCCAAACCCCCCCCTTTTGTGTAAGACGTAAAATAAGTAACAGGTAAGTAACAAGTAAGTAACAATGTGAATGATCCCTATAAAAACATGCTCAACACAAAACAAATAATTTTAAAACAGATTTCGAGCAGACTCCAGAAGGAGGTATCATTAAACGTAAAAACACAGATATTTCAAGAAGAATAGAACAACACGAGGAACTTCATTGCACTGTATAGTCAACAAAGTGAGCTATTATATTAATAATTTTTACCCAACAATTCTACTGAAAATAACGAAATTGGTAGTCACTTTGTTGGTAGTTACTTTGTAATTTTACAACTGATGAACATGAATCTCTCAATCACATGGACACTGAAAAAAACAACGAAAAGACATCTCAACTTAAAATGACAGTCCTGCTTTTCTTTAACGCTTTTCTTTTCATAAAATCGTATGAAACAGACAAGAGTGTTGCAGGACAAATCGTTCTAATACTTAATTTACACAAAAATGAGATAGGACTCTCAAACATCGTCAAAGAGGGACGATTTCTTGCTTTGTTTCCTGTAGCTGGATGACGGTGCTGTGTCGAGTAGAGAGTTAGCATCATAATCCTCTGAGTCGAGAAGTCTGGCTCTGTCGTTATCAAACGAATTCGTGTGATCTGAGGGAGTTTAGTGTGTTCGACATGATAATTCATGAAAATTACTGGCTAACGAAAAAACATCTTTAAAGATTGGAAATGAAGTTAAACTAAAAACCAAAATTCTAACCTGCAGCAGACTTGCTTGGAAGGAGTTTCTTACTCTCGTATCGTTTGGATGAGGTGCTTGGTTTTGATGAGTTGTTGTGATCCTGTTTTCCTCCTCCTCCTCCTCCTCTCTCCTTACTCCTCCTCTCTGAGAAACAACGTTATTCAACGTTATATCACCATTTATAATTAATATTATCAACAACCCTCTCATTATGAAGAATGAATTAACGATAAGTATTACATAATACTTAGAATATTCAGTATTTGGTGATTATATTTGAGTATTCGACATATCTCGAGTCTCGACACCTTTCACCGACAATATATATATATTATAATCAGACATTAAATCAGTTAACTACAATTATTGAATATTGGGCATGAACCTCTATTTAGGAGCTGTTTCCCCTCCTCCACATAATCCATACTGATCTCATCGTCTTGAACGAAGGTCTGGAACCCGAGGAACGCCATGCAGCGGGTCCCCACCTTTAGCAGAGTAGCTATACCGATCAGCGCTATCAGTATCGGGTAATACACGTTGAATCCTGTCAGAATTATTCAGGATTATTCGTTAGTTCAGTGTTCAGATCAGATGATGATCATTTATATGCTCGTTTGACTCTCACGGTTTGAGCTAAGTATGCTGAATTCAATTTTAGCAAAATTCACGTAGAAGTTCAAATTTAAAAACAAATTAAACGATCGTTAAAATGAAATGACCACGTGAAGTAATATTCATGATGAAAGTTCTGGATGCTGAAATAAAATAAGCATTAAAGAAAGGAACAAATTCTACATTGCTTGTCGAATAACGAACCTTGTGCAATGAAAGGGATAACTTCGAAGCTGCCCATGATAGTGGTAAAGGCTGTCTGTATGTCTGTGTTGTATCGTGTGTCCTGGTGGACTAGGGCTAGGAAGTTCAGAGACAGGGGCGTGGTGAGACGAGACAGAACCGTAGCTGGGGAGACAAATCGTCAGTACTATTTTATATTAGTTATAATATCATAATTAGTGTTATAATTAATGGGTTCCTCAATCATTTTTACATACCTTAGATAACTATACAGTATTATAAATTCCTGGATTTAATTCCCATTTAATTACATCTCGATACACAAGATATCTACTTAAATCGGATCAGATGAACTATCATGAGCACACCATTGTCAATCTAAATTGAAAGTAATCGAAAAACCTGAGAAAAGAAGCGAGTAATCATCAGTCTGCTGAGCGGGTGCCATGTAGTACAGGTTAAAGAGTCTCAACTTGAAAATCGTGTAGTACGCACACAGACACATGTAGCTGATAAACGTGATACACACCACCTGAGAAGAAACTAGATAAGAAAGTGAAACATAGCGAAAGTGAAACAAGGTACGAAAATTAAGTGAAACTTAATTTGAATGAACATATTGAAAGTGAAAATAGATTTGTGTATTGTTTTGTTGAGTACATTTTTACCGCTGCATTCAGGGTATCTTGTTCCATCAGACCTTATAACTGGTCTGATGTGGTGAATACAGAATAATAATATTAGCACAACTCTTTCACATTTATACCTTTTATCGTACTGACTTTGTAATTTTGATGGAACAAACATAATGGAGATATTAATAGTAGATACTATTTTTCTGACTAGATCTGCGCTTAAGTAAAAAAGGGACTGGGCACGGTCTTTAACTGTTAAAGTAATCGTAGAATGAATGCATAATGTAACTATATCTCATAATTACTGCAGTGTCCACATCAATACCCTGCCGGCCAAATTTTTCTGACCCAAATCACTGTTCTCAATTTTAATTCCGCCAGACGTTTTAGTTGTATCCTTCAAATTTTCTACCTGATTTCTCATTATTCTGAGCATAATGCTTCATTACTTTAGTTACATACTTCTTCATTATTAAACATATCATTGCTTGATTGTAATCAGATTTGACACTAGAGTCTCGAAATGTAAACATTCAAGACAAGCACACATTAAAACACTTTCTCGATCAACAATTTTAACTATCAATCATTTTGTATTATATTTTTGCAAGTTTTACAAGTTTTACAAGTTTTACAAGTTTTACAAGTTTACAAGTTCTACTATTGATCTATATTGCATTAAAGTAATAATTTCAGATACGCGATACTGGAATCCAAATCCGATAGCCAAAGAGTGAATGTATCCAAACCAATAAAGTGAATCGAATCCGGTTAAAGACAAGGAAATTATTATTATTATTCATTGTTTAACTATATAATAATGCTACGTCTATAAAGATATGACGATGACTTTAAATCCTAGGTTAGGGCACCGCTGCACAAAGCTTTCAAGTCTAAAAGAGTGATGCACCTTGAGACTACAGACATAGTTTTGTTTTTAATATTTTGGAGGGGCTTCAGCGGCATACTCTTGAGGGTCATACTGTTGAAGGGGAGCATAGGACTGCGGAACTGCAGTTATCGCGTTCTGCTGTTGCTGCACTACAACAACTTGATTTGTAGGAGGCACACTTTCTTTCAACTGCTGTCGTTCCTGATATAGAGCACAGGGAGTGCAAAAGCAAACGGACAACAAATCCAAAATCCAGTCACCTTGGATTCTATACTTTCTTCTGATGTTGGGTCTAAGGGAAAGACCCCATGCACACATCGCAGCTTGCTGGCAGAAAATAAAGCCCAAGCAGCCACATAAAGCACCAAAAAACCCGTCGCACCAATAACCCGGGTGGCAGGAATCCCGCGCAATTAAACCGAAGATTACACAGGGACAAAACCAAACTAGCAGACATTCTCCAATATCGTCTGTGCATCCAAACAGACCATGACTCCACTCGTTGTTCCTTGGAATACCATCTTCTACTGATACTAAAAGCGGCACCTTGTCACCCATCAGTATATATCTGGCAGGAAGTGTTAAAAGTTGTGGCAACAACCATTTTGAAATTTATTTGGCAATTTAATAAGAAGCCGATATATCATAATTTAGATACAAAAAAAAGAAGCTTAAATTGTGATTATGTAAGGAGGTTAAACTGTTCTCGCTAAACTAATTGTTCAGTTGTCAAGACACAAATCGTAAACACTGTCAGCATTAGATGTCACAACATGAGATAACCAATAATAATATCATAACCACGTGCTTGCAGCCTCATTTTGACCTCACTGAAGTGATACTAGATAAACCGGTCCAATCAATTGTTCGGAGGGCGAGAATACGTGGCCTGGCTAACCACAGATTTGTAAACCGTACTACAATCTTAATAATGTATACAACGAATATTAACTGAGCGCGACACGGAGCTAGCCAAACTTCAACAAACTAACGTCAGATAAGTGGACACTGCTGTTTTTCCATGAGCACATCTTAGACAGCTTACATCTCAATGGACAGTTCTTAGAAGCAAATAGCAATTATAAGGTATATGAATTAAAGGCATAATTACGAATAAAAGCGTCCGAGTAAGCCTCGTTCACCTTCAATTAAAAACAATAAAATTCTAGTTCATGTTTGCAAGTCACCAATATTCTCACCGCAAAGTACAATTGCTGATGAATCGCAAACCTTAACTTGCCCTCAACTAAATGCTTCACCGAATGTCAATGAGTTGAAATATGAGTGTGTCTCTGTGTGAAATATGATCTATATATATAATCTCAATAAATCTGTGTGTGTGTGGGAAACTTCCAAGCGGCTTAATTGAGAAAACGGTAAGATTACGGGACTGGTTTTTTCGGTATAGTGCCGACAAAACTCTGACGAAACCAATAAGCAAATTATAAAAAAATCGGCCGGTGGTAAGTGGTTTAATTGATGGTTTTGTACCACTAATGTGGCTCAATTTTTGTCCCTCCTCGCTCTCTCTCTCTCTCTCCCATTACTACATAGGCAGCGTTGGTACATAAATCATAATTAGGTTAGCTGCAAGATTCACTGTTATGTAATACTATAAGCTTATTACTTTACTAGGGGGCAGGGGGCACTTATTGCGGTCTGTATGGACTGTTGAGAGAGTTCATACTTTCATACGACAATGTAATGCGTGTTTTCAAATATAATAGGCGGGTTTATACTTTTGCATTTCAACTGCGATAGTGAAGTCCCGGCCGTACTGCAAGGACAAAAGAAAATCGCGATTATTCAGGCCAAAACTCGCGGCGCCGCGCGACAGCCAAACTAGGCAAAATCGCGGCGAAAGATAATGTATTTGCAGAGCTAAGTTAGATGTCATATATTCGTTAAACTAGCCAGCGTTAGTTTAGTTAGATTAGGGAGCGATAAGCAAAACACTGGTAGTTGTATATAACTAAGCTATTACATCCAGGTTGAATGCCACATTTTCTTGGATTAACATAACTTGAATTGCAAGTACGCGAGCGTGGTTTACCAGATCCTTGAAATTGTCAGTAAGCTTCTGGTTTTTCATTAATTGTTTTCTCATTAAGCTTTTATCACCACAGATGGGAATTATATTCGGCTTGATTTATGATATCCCAGAATTAGTTCAAGTTAACACACAGTGGATAAAAAATCATATAAAGCCGGCCAATTTCTTAGACGTAGTCAATATGTACGATAAGATAAAAGATTACGGCTCCTGCTCTGATGTTATCCACATTATCCGTCTATTTGTTCGATTAGCTACTTTGAGTGAAGTAACAGGTATCATCTCCAATTTGATAAAACACAACCTGGACTGGGTGCAGATAATTGGACTGAACTACATTTCCGTGGAGCTGCTGCGGGCATCAAGCGGGACAGTCGGGGATTCTAACAGTATGTCCAGGATAATGTGCTGTCGAGAGGGAGCTGAACAAAACCCACCAAGAACTGGATAGGAGCCCACTCTTCGTTAAACTCATCTTGCCGGATTTTAGAACATTTTTTGACGATCTGATGGAATCAGTGACCAAAAATGGAAGAAATGAGGAGTCTCTTCCGAATGGAGCAGCAGATAACGCAAAAGATTATGACCACTATGATGACAAGTAACTTTGGTAAAAGACGATCAGGACGAAGAATAATCTGGACTATTTGAGGACAGGCGGTGGAGGAGATGCACAGACAGGGAGCTTCTCCTGGCATTTCAACATCATTTACCAACTGTTCCTGTACAATACGAGGGTAATCTGATAGACTTTGTGGTTGTTGAGATAATAATAGATTGGATAAAGTTCAACAAGTTTGACCTGCCTGCAGTGCTTTGCGTTAATGTGCTAACAGCTATACGAAAGCTGGATAAATTGAGTGCAATGTTTGTGGAAGCGGTGGTCGCAGAGACCCATGCTCTGCTTGGTCCAGAACTAGAAGCCTTCTCTTACATAAACTCAAGCTTCAACTCACACCCAACATCCTACGAGCACGTGACCCAGAAATTTGTGACTAAGGATAACCTGCAGCTACTCCTCCTAGGACAGCACGTGACCCTAAAGAGTAAGTGTACGCTCGGTATGTGTGGGTACGTGAAAACGCCCAGCGTGGTGACGATCAATTCATCGAAATATAACATTGAGTAACTAATATCACAGATATTTCCCGAACCTTTCATTGCATCCCTTTTTCTCTTTCTTACACCGTTCAATAAGAACGGTTTTGTATATATTATATAATATATATATATATGTAATATGTATAATATTATATTATATTATGGTGTTTGTATGGATTTCTCCAGTTGGAAGATTGTTCTACCCTGGAGGGGAGCTTCATACCAGTTAACCGGCCGTTTTATTTGTATGTTATATTATTGTATTATCCGAGAAAACAGTTAGTACCGCGAAGTGGGTGGGTGGGCATTTTTTGTAAATTTCAAAGTTGCACTTAGTCGATGTCACGTACGGCACTTGGTACCTGATCCCCCCCCCCCCCCCCCGTTATGTTGTCACAAACTTTATAACACTTTCTGCCAGAGATATACTGATGGATGACAAGGTGCCGCTTCTAGTATCAGTAGAAGATGGTATTCTAAGGAAAAACGAATGGAGTCATGGTCTGTTTGGATGCACAGACGATATCGGAGAAATTCTGCTAGCTTGGTTTTGTCCTTTTGTGATCTTTGGTGTAAACGCGCGAGACTCTTGCTACCCTGGGTATTGGTGCAACGGGATTTGTGGTGCTTTTTGTGGGGGCTTTATTTTCTGTTTTCCAGTCGCAATGTGTGCGTTGGGTTATTCTTTTTGGGGCTGCTTCAGCTTGGGCTTTATTTTCTGCCAACAAGCTGCGATGTGTGCAATCAACTGTGCATGGGGTCTTTCCCTTAGACCCAACATCAGAAGAAAGTACGGAATCCAAGGTGACAGGATTTTAGACTGGTTGGTCGTTTGGTGGTGCACTCCTTGT